GTTCTATCTTAGACTTCTTCAGATTATTGTACGTTTTGCCGTTAAAAAAAATGATTATTGTATGTTATTGTCTTATGCTGTGATTGTAGATTTTTGTTTTTATTATGGTAGAAAGAAATGAAATATTAATTAATATTATAAAATATATAAAATATAAAAATCAATTTATTAAATATAATTTACTTTTGCTGTGATTGTAGATTTTTGTTTTTATTATGGTAGAAAGAAATGAAATAGTAATTAATATTATAAAATATATAAAATATAAAAATCAATTTATTAAATATAATTTATAAGTTCATGTTGTGGTTGGCTGGCGAAATGTTTTTCTCCTTATCTAGGAAAGTTTACATACAATTTAAATAATTTAACTTCATCATACTATAAATAAAGGTTAAAGTTGGTACTTTAGTCTCTATTTTTTCTGAAATAATTTTTAATAAATAATATTTTTTTTCTATATTTTTTAAAGCAAGATATTTTCTTCCAAAATTTTTTCAATGTGAGATACACTTAATCACTTTTTCATAACTTTTCTAATATTAACTTCTTACCAACCTTGAAAATTTTAACAACCCAATACAACTCCAAGTAAATTTCATTGTAAAACCATCAACTTTCAATGTAATATGTTTTAACAGGCCCTAAAATAAATAAAAAAAATGCAAAATTGAGTTAAGGGACCAAATGAATGCAAAATTATAAAGTTGAGGGACCGATGGTTTTAAACCAAACTAAAATTAATTGTCAACGCTCTATGTTCAAGAATTTTGGCTGAGCATGGATGATGCCTCGGCATGAAACTTTGAGCACAGATTCTCTTCCAGCGCCGAAACTTCTAAAGTCCTAAACCTTGTGCCAAGCCTATTTTTTTTACTCTATCATCCCAATTATAGACGAACCATTAGGAATTTTTTAATGATATTTGGTGAGATTTACAATTAATTATCTATTTTCAACTTGGGTATTGTTACTATTCTCTATTGCAATTTTGCTGGTAGTATTGACTGAGTTTATGAATATAATTTTTTATATTAGACATTTAGAATTAGTTATTTAGTAATATGAGAGTTATAATGTTGTTGTGTTGGACTTAAAATTATGCTTATTACATATAAAGATACATATATATATATATATATATATTTCAATCATATACATATATTATATATGAAAAATTGTTTAATATATAGTTTGGTATTGTAAAATAGTAAACTCTACTACATAAAAAGGCATGCTTTTCTAAGATAATATAAAGACATACTTAAGAAGTTCTTGTAAATATATAATATCAACTTATCTTGGAGACAGAAAAGTGAAGATTTTTCTACGCTTTTCTAGGGCTTGTATTGTTGCCATGTTGGTTGGACCTAACATTATAGGTGGTTTTGGGTAGGGGAAAAATCCAAAGGGAACTTAATTAAGGAGTATGATTATATAAATGCAAAGGGCTCAAAATTTCTTGCCGCGGTTTCCTCTCTCGAAGTTCTACAAAAGATAGTTTAATAATTACTACTAGGGTTCTTAATTGGACTTGAAAATCTTAAGAAGAAGCTCGTTCAACCAAGGAAATGTTCTTCATCTGTTCTTGAAATTTGAATCTTTGATGTTCTTTAATCTTTATTATCTTTTTCTTGTATTAGCGCAATTTTTTGCTATTATTCATCACCATTCAGAAGTTTCTATGGTTTGAATTGAGCCTATAGCTATCTTTTACACATGTTTGGAATCAAATTCCCCATTTACATCTTATTAAAAATAATATATTATATACTCCAATTGTAGTAATTGTTTTCTTCATTTGAAAATTTGAATCAAGACAGTCCATGTATTTTGTTGATTAGGAACCGACTTTAAAATGAGAAAATTTAAATTTGAAATTTTCAAATTTTGAGTATTTTTTTTTAAATAAAATGGTATATATATAGATTTATGAGTTAATTAAGACCAACTTATATATAATTTTTATGTATATCATTTATGTAAAATCTTAATTATTTTTTTATTATGAATGGTGCTGAGATTTATCAAAAAAGACAATTATTTTTTAAAAAATAAGATAAAAAGTGAATAAATCTTAATAATTTATAGTAAAAAAATAACTTATCAAAATTTTGTGTAAATAATATATATAAATTGGGTGTGTAAATTGATCATAACTCTAAATATACTAGAGTATAAGTTAATTCAAAGCATACAGACAATATAGATAACAACCAATGCAGGTTCTCACATACGATTCCCCAGCATAGAGAAGCAGACAGAAGAAATGGACCCCTAGCATTGGTGACGTACGATTGCTTTGAGTTTAGGAGTAGAAACTAA